GGGGTGCAGTCACCCAGGATCCGGAGGAAGAGTTTGACCCCACCCTCACCCAGGGTCCTGCCCCCTCACTGTGGAGGCGAGGAGGTTTCCAGGCTCTGGGCGGTGGCTCTTTTAAGGCTTGGTTTGGGGTCTAGTGGCCAGAGTCTATCTTTTCTTCAATAGTGCAGCTTCCCCCACTCATTCATTCATTCATCCATGTGTTCAACACATATTTATCAAATGATAAACATGAACCTGGCATGGTGCTAGATGCTCAGGGCAGAAGGAGGCTAAGAGAACTTGGGAGCTACACGGAGATAGCCCAGGAAGTCCAGCATCACAGGTTTTGTGATCAGAGGCCAGACAGAGAGGGCTGCAGGGCTGAAGACCACCCAGAGCAGGGACTTCTGATTTAGACTCCCCCTTTCCATGGTGGGCACTAGGAGCAGGCTGGGGATGGAATCTGAAGATCCCAGGTCCCTCTAGGCTTAAGGTTCAGTTTGATCCCGTCAGGGGTCCCAAGTCTCAGGTCACACCCACATCCCTTCATCCAGGATTTCCTCCTGCTCTGAGGTTAGCTGGGAATATGTCAACCTTTAGTCCCCCATTTTTTATTTATTTGTTTGTTTGTTTAATTGAAGTGTAGTCGATTTACAATGTTTCCGGTGTACAGCAAAGTGATGCAATTATACATGTATCTATTCTTCTTCAGATCCTTTTCCATTAGAGGTATTACAAGATACTGAATACAGTTCCCTGTGCTGTACAGTAGGTTCCTGTTGTTTATCTATTTTATGTATAGTAGTGTGTATCTATGAATCCCAAAGCCCTAATTTATCCCTCCCCCCCTTTCCCCCTTGGTAATTGTAAGTTTGTTTTTTATGTCTATTAATCTATTTCTGTTTTATACATAAATTCCTTTGTATCATTTTATATCTAATTTGTTATGTAACTTGTAGATCACTTTGCATCTAGTTCAAAAATATAGTTCTTGGTTTTGGCTTCAAGGAAACTGAAGCCCAGTGAGTCTCAAACTTTGGCATATATAATAATCATCCCGGGAGAATGTTAAAAATCATTTTTAAGATCTGGATTTCACCCTCAAGAGATTTTAATTCAGAAGGTCTTGGAAACTGAAGTTAGAGTGACCAATCGTCTTGATTTGCCTTGGGACGTTGAGGCTCAGTTTTAAAATAGGACAGTCCCAGGAAATCCAGGACAAGTC